TTATCGGAGACCAAAAGCGAAAGAATAATACGTAAAAGGGCCTGACGTGTTGGATTTGTCGGTATATGTTCGTATGTGTAATTAGAATATGGAACCCTGACGAAAAACAGTGGTACTTATTCCGAACCCTTTATCAGATGTTTCAAGCTCTAGTATTTGTGGGTTGCTTCAAAATGCTGTGCCCTGCCTCTTGCAGGGTGCGAAGCTGCTTCTTGTACGCTTCATGCACTGCGTGCCTTGAGCGGCGGCTGTTTGAAACCAGGCTCCGAGAGAAATCCAACCAGCAGGGAATGTCGTTTAAGAGTAGCCTCTCAGAACACATACTATCACCGCAAGACGGTGCCCTACATTTTGGAGCTCGGAGTATCCGGCAGAAATAATCTGAAAAGACTCTAGGGCTCGGAAGTCGGTTCAGATTCTTCACCATGAAGCAGCAAAACAGCTAAGCCCCAGAATAGGAAGCGTCTGGCGTGAAGACTTGCATCCGACACCTGTGGTACCTCTGGCTCCGATGTTTTGCATCCCTCATCCCTATACATGAGCCAGGTTCCGCAATGGCCCCTCAATGATGTGATAAGGGTACCTTTTGTCCTGTTTTATTTTCTAAAACCAACAGTGCAAAAAGCGTGCTACTGGGCAGCCTAGTGAGGAAACGACGAAACCGACCGGAAACGATTCCTTCCCTCCTTCTCCCTTCCACGGCAGAGAGGAGGACAGATTAGACTAGAAGGTATTAGAAGCATGATTTCTTGGACTTGCCTCTATGCCCGTGTTCCGAAATACCTCTGGTCGGGTTCAGAAGAGGCAAGAACGAAACGCACAACTTCTTAGTCCATATCGCGCTTCTTCTTTAACCTCAGACTCTTACCCTAAACCCTTAACCCTAAACCCTAAACTCTAAACTTGATGTCAGCTGGCAGGACCGGACCTTGGTGTCGGCCTTCCGTTGAGACACGACTCTTAACCCTACCTTGAACTACCATAACCTACTTTTTTCTAGGTCCTTATTATAAAACCTAATATAGAATTTATAGGGACCCTACAAAAAAGTAGGTTTTGGTAGTTTAAGGTATGCTCAAAGCCCTAAAGTGCCCTCACCCTCAGCTTGGATTCCGGCAGTTCGTGCTTGTAGGCCCGCTGGAGCTCTTGACGGTGGTCCTGCACAGTTTTCCCTATGCTTGAGGAGAGAGGAGACCAGTCGATGAGTTGAGGTCGATCTTCGGAGCTCCCGAGAAAAGGGCGCTGATGCCGGAAATTGACGACTCTGGGTAACTTCGCAAAACTGGCAGGGGCATCTTGCAGCTCTTGTATGCAACAGAATCCTGCATTGAGAAGGACCCGTCCAGGGCAACGAAAGTAGGCACCTGGACCATGCCCCCACTGGAAAGATTTTTCCCTTGGTACACTTCTCGATTTGTGCG